AAGCAGGCTTCTCATCTCTAGCCAGCTGACTAGGGTGTAAACTCTCCCTAATTGAGAGCTGCAACCGTTAGCCTAAACTCTGATGATAACCAAGGCTGGCCTCCAAATAGTGGGGAAATGCTACACATTGCTAGTCGTATTCTGGGACTTTTTTTAATTTAACTGGAAACTCCACATAATAATGTAACCTTGTTAGTCAGTGATGTATTGGGTTACTACTGTAGGTAGTAATCTAGTTAGCTGTGCTAATGATTGCAGGCTTTATGTTGTTAGCAGGATACAGCATTGCTGGGTTCCTTGTGTTTTTGGTTTCGGAAATGCTAAAAAAAACCTCTTTAAATGCTGAATACGACTCTTACTACAGGCCGTCGCACAAATCGCTTCCACACAAACATCCCAAACCATAGTGAACGGTCAATTATGCGTCCTTATCACATCTAATGAATCTTGTTCCTATGCCTTTTTAAAAGCACTTAAAAAGCACACTCCATCCTTTATGTGCTTATTAATAGTCTACAAAAGTGCTTCTTTCTCCTTACCTATCTTATCTCTACTTTTCCCGTCACTTCTCCTCTTTCATTGATTCTTTCATTCTCCTTCTCCCTCTAGTCTATTTTGCCTTACTTGTTTACCAGGTGGAGTGTCCATCCAGGCCGGTCTGAGACGTAAAGGTGATAAATGAGCAGAGGAGCGAGGGATAGGCAGTGGGCCGGGGCCGAATGAAAGAGAGAAGAGCTGATGTGGAGAGGGAGAAGGCTGCTAACGGGAGTCTGAGAATGGATATAATGAGAAACGGGAGAGGGAAGCTGGGGGGGGAGTAAGGAGAAGACTGGTGAAGGGGAGAAACGAGAAAGGGTGAAGTGATATATGAGGAAGAGAGCACTGCGACAGAGGCAGAGAAAGTGAGGGGAACGTCCATAAATGGGAGAATGAGGGTGGCTGAGGGAGACTGATAAAGATGGGAGAGGGTGAAAATGGATGGCATGGTGAGGGTTCGGTATGGTGGCAGAACTGATGACTGAGATGAGAAACTAATGGCTGTCTCTCTAAGCACAGGGCAGTATTCAAATACGCACGGCAGTATTTTAATTCAGCGTGTGTGTGTGTGTGTGTGTGTGTGTGTGTGTGTGTGTGTGGTGCTGATTAGCAGTCATCTCAACCAGCGAGGCATTCAGACATTC